CCTCAGTTTGGTTAATCATTCTCTTCTTAAAAAGAATGCAGGTTTAGTCTTGAAAGTTTCGTACTCCTTGCTTTCTCTACGTCCATCCTGTGCATCCAAAGGACAGGGCATTCTACACAGTTGACAGAGGAAAAAAATTAACCTGGCTTAGTGAGCAATATTGCCTAATAGAGGTTAAATGAGATGGGGACAAAAGAAAGCCCAGACTACTGGAATTGTGCAGCCCTTTGCTGGCTTTGGGCGAGCTATGGAGAATAGGTATGCAGCAGTCAAAGAGCAGGAGGAAATGGCAGCACAGCAGAAAACCGGGAGAGAGGATGGTCATAAAATGCCAGAAGCCATCGAGTTCCTCCCATTGTCAGTAAAGCCTGAGTGCAGACACACAGCTTTGTGGTAACTCTTCTCACAATGTCCAGGCTAACGTGGACACTCACATCTTGGCACAGCCACATGAAGTCTGTAAGAAAACCACTCTCTGTGGACTTTTAAAATACATTCCATTGTTCTTTTCTCCCTCCATCCCCAATATGTGATGAAGGGCAGATCCATGGGATGCTTCAGTAAATGCTTCCCCAGTGCTGCCTCCATTTATAATCTGAATTATTTAATGGTAAAAAATTTAGCTGTTAAAATTATTGTTTCCTCCAGATTAAATTTTGAACTTTTGAAGAGTTAATACTGAGTTACATTGGTAAACTTAAGTTGGGAGGTTTTCCCCCTTTTATTTAAGGCATGTGCGTATGAATCCAAATGCAATTTGCGTCTGCTCTTCAGACTCTGAGAAGGGCTATGCTAATTGCTGTAATCTCAGCCTCTCAATAGCAGGAAGCAAGTTTGTTTATGAGCATACACTGTATTTCACATCATTCTCTTCTGGATAAAGTCAGTCACAGATGAAAGGTAACCTTTAACTTGGCCCTAATAATAATACTGCATAAAGGTACAGAAAGCAACTGTTGCATCCTCACTGCTATCCTTCGGATAAAATTATTAAAATGACATCACTCATTTGGTACAAGAGGCATTTTAACTGAATACTGTAAACAGATCAATGTCTCCTGCTTTTCGTCAGCATCTCTATAGTAGCAGGAGACAATTACACTGACATCCTATTCTACTGCAAGCACCTAGCTTGTAATGCTTTGAACTGAAGTTGTCTTTAGTGATTGTGTCAACATGCAGATTAATCGGGGGGTGTGGGGTGTGTGTGGTGGTGTTATGCTTTCTTATACTTCTGATCTCTAAAGCCCATATTCTAGGCCTGAATGTCATGAAGTTCTTAGTGAACTGTGCCTATGGAATGGAGAGGAAATTTGGTAGACAATTTTGGAGGGCTTAATTTGTGCACATGTGAGGAAAAGTAATCATTCATTCAAATCCCTTTCTCAGAGTCTGTGGATAAAGACACTTCCAACACTGGAGTGTTTAGTCCTCATTGTTTAATGGCATTTGCTGTCCACAAATATGTCTCTGCCTTACAGTATCATTTCAGCATCAAAATATCAATCTTTCCACATGGTTTTGTATGGTCATTTATAAATGTAACAACACTTCTCTATTGCTTTGGCAGCTTGCTGTATGACATACTCCAGATGTCCTGCCTGGCAGAACACAGTTATTAGCATAGGACAAGCAAACCTGCCTGAATCCTGAATTTTTTGGTTTTGCTTGAAAATTTTTCTAGGTTTTCCTGCCAAAAATTTTGCTTCTAATTATCTACACCCCACTGCTTTACTTTAGTCCATTCAATCTAACCAACTGTTGCTCTCTGCCGTGACTGGAAATGTAGGCGTTTGCTTTCCAGTGGGTTCATTTAAAACAATTAGAGGTGTATCTATGGAAGTTAACGAAAATTTGCCTCTGACATTAAGCAAGGTCAGTTCTATTTCAGCCACTATTATCATATTACAGCAACCCTAAAAAGCTCCAGATAGCTGAGCTGCTCTGAATTACTGAGTTCATTATGACACATATGTTATCCCATGTAAAACACTGGCATTGACAACAAATAGGTTTTCATTCTCTTCAGCACTGATTTTGTGATATTAAAAATTCTTACTGTGATTTTCCAAGTACATTTGCTGTTTGGAGGGTAGACTCCTGGAAATCCTTCACTCCCAATAAACCCTGACTCTCCAGATACAACTCCTCCACATGCAAATGTAGGCCTGAGAATAACAGGAAAAAGTAGTGCTTAATTTTTAAATATATTTAATTTATTCTGTGAATAGTAGCAAAAAGGCATGAACTGTCTTAAAAACACAGCTTAAATACTTAGAAACATTGCTAACTTTAAACATATGCTTCGTTACTTACATAATTTCACTGCTAACATAGATGTGCAATTTAATACACAAACTGAGGTGTAGAGGAAACTAATTCTGGGTTTACACGGGCTGTTATCCTTCCTCCTTTTTTAGTTCCTAAGATGGAAGGTGTGGTGTGAATCACTGCAAATTGCTATTACAATGAAACATAATTATTAAAAGTGATTGGTAATGACTTTTTTAGGGTATATAGTAGGAATTAAAACAGCACAGTAATAATTTTTGATTCCTTTCTGTTCCACTCTGAAAAGCTTTGAACTTGGATATTTTCATCACGTAAGTCACTTTGGAAGTTTTCTCCACCACAGGAACACAACCCACCACGTGCTCCAGTCCTGCTGCTCCAGCCTGGCGATGAACCCTGCGCCCCTATTTTGCCAGGGTGAGGGCGTTCAGGGGTGCAGTGTCCGCTCCCTGCTCCGGGGACAGACGGGAGCCCCCCCCCCCCCCCCTCCAAAACCCTGCGCAGAACCACAATATTACTGCTGAGGACATGAGGGTGAGTGAGTGCCCCGCTGAGCTTTAGGTGCTGGGATATTACACAGTTATGTTGCGTTACGTGGTGCGTTACAAGGAGCCGCTCTCGCAGTGGCCTGTTCCCGTGGGAAAAGCCCCTCTCCGTGCCCTCCCCTGATGCGGTCGGTAACGGGCAATGAAACACCCGCAGGTGTTGCCCGAAGGCAGCGGAGGCGCGGACTCGCGGAGGGCACCGCTGCTGCGGGGGGAGGGAGGGAGGCGGGGGAGGGTGCGCAGCGCTGCGCGGGCGCGGGGGGGGTGCGCAGTACCTGTGCGGCGGGGCCGCCGGGCGCGCCGCCGCCGCCACCACCACCACCACCAGCAGTAGCGGCAGGAGCAGTAGCGGCAGCAGCAGCAGCGGCCGCGGGGCGGCGGGCGGCATCTCCGGGCGACGGCGGCGGCTGGGGCCGCGAAGCCGCTCCTCCGGCTGTCCCCTGCTCCTCCCGTGTGCGGCGGGGTCGGGGGAGGAGGCAAAGGCTTCCGCGGTCCCCCGCCCCTGCGGCAGGGCAGGGCAGGGCAGGGCCGGGTCGCACCGCCCGTCCCCCGTGGGGCGGGGCGCGGCGTTGCTGGAGCCGCGGGAGCTGCCGGCTTCCCCCGGCCCCTGGGGACCCTGCCCCGGCTGTGCCCGGCCGGGCGGCGGTGCTGCAACCTCGGCCCCGGGGGCACCCCCGGCACCCGCGTACTTCGCGCACGCAGGGGCTGAAGGAGCACTCAGTCAGCGGGACCGGCCGAAGGCCCCTGCAACGCCCCGCTCCCTGTCCTCAGGTGGCACAGGGAGGGTGTTTGTCCCGACCATGAATGAACTCAGTGTCACCGTTTGTGCAGTCGTGGACGGCTTTGCCAAAGCTTGAGAAATAGTAATGCTACTTCAAAATTTCTTCTTTATTTAAATTCTAAAGTAAACTTAAAATGCTTCGTTTTGTTTACCCATTGGTAATCTTGACCCATTTAGTAGCCTTTTCGCTCTGGCTGTGAAAGATGCTCTTTAAGGGCTGTGGCAAAGCTAACAGTAACAAACTCAATACTTGTGTGTTTGTAGGATTTGGGCCAAGGTTGTTTGAGAAAAGAAATGAAAAATTAAGTCAGTATTCTCACTGAACACAAGAAAACCTGTAATTTTTTAAAACGTTTACTGAAGCCGCATTGTTGGTGCTGTGGAATGATGACATACAGGTTACCGTGTCAGTAAATAGCATTTTACCTTGTGACGATTGTTTTAAGAAGAGCCTGCTCCTTTTCTTGTTTTAAATGCTTCTTCCCATATGCATCTCTTGCAGTCTCTAGTAAAAAGTGTTTGGGCGCAGACAACCAAAGCAAGGACTGCAGTAACTAAACAGAAATTCTGCTGCATACAAGGCAGAATGTAAACCTATTATCTAATTTTTAGCTTATTTACCAAGCACTTAACATTCCTATTCTTGCAAAATACAAAGAAGGGCATTCTCAATTCCAAAGCTTTAAAGAAGTGTTGTGTATTAGAGAGGACGCTCTGACGATTAAACGGAAAGTGGATGCTGCAATACCTGTGTTCTCCACAGTGCTGGATGAAGGATGCAGCAGAATAACCTGGATCCATGCCTTTTAAATTTCTCAGAGGATTTGTGTGGGAGAGGTGCAGCTGCTGTTGGGACACCCATCTTTGGAGGCAGCCTATAAGGTGGCTGGTAAGTAAGAGGTGTGCAAGAGGCAACAGAAGACAAAAAGAGCAGAGGCTGAGGTGTGCAAGGATTTCACAGAGGCCCAGGTTTTGTGCTAGTGCAGGTACGTTGGCAGCCAGGTTGAAGTGCTGTTCTGCAGCCCTGAGGAGGGGCAACCCCACACCCCCCAGTGGGGCTGGAGGAAGCAGCAGGACACTTCTGTGTAAGGCTTGGTGAAGGACTGGGACAGGAGCTCAAGTCGACAAAAAGAGGGCTGTGGAAGCAGAGAAGGTTGTAACATGGTCGGAACAGAGATACTCTTTGCAGCTGTGCTTGGAACTGATTTGAAGTGACATAAATGGGAAATAAAAAAGCTGAAAAGGAGACATTTACTCAGGCCATGACCAACAGGATGCTGGTTAGTAGCCAAAAACTTAGCCAGTACCACTAGGTATACTGGGTTTAGTCATGAAGGTCATTCTAGACGTGGAAGTCGATGTATACGACAGTTGTGTAATACAGCACAGACACATGTGTTCCCTGCTGCTCCTCTCTGTCAGCATTTCTGAAGTCTAGTTTTAAGAACAAGAAAGTATTTCAGGCCTTATATCCACTGAAGAACTGTCCTCCATGTGAAACCTCCAACAAAGGCTGTTAGTTCCCATGGATTAGATGTGGTTGCTGTTGACTTTTAACCTCTTCAGAAGGTAGCTTTAAACTTCTGAAGAGTTAATGTGATAACAGGTTTTGCATTGTACCCAAGAATACCTACAGAGCTGTGCAGCAAAAGGACAACTCAGGCCCTGATGGCAAATCAAGGAAGAGAACAGGCTGCTGGGAAAACCCCACACACCTGCACACACGTGCAGCCAGGCTTCTGCACCTCTGCCACATAGGGAACAATAGCAGCATCACTCCCTGGTTTTGGCTATCCAGGAGCACACCCTAAATTACAGACTACAAAGCAGGCACTCAGTCTAAATTAAACTGTATTTACCAATGTAAATAATGCTGCTACGGCAAATTCACCCATGAACCAGAGATGTCTGGCTGGTTTATACTGATGGCTGCAGGAGGAAGAGAAAAGTAAAAGGCCAGTAAGCAGTTACACATAAATAAATGTGTTAGCATTGACTTTAATCCTGAGGTAATATCTGTTAGGAACACAGAAATGGGGGTGACCTCCTTCACCAAGTCCCCTACTATTGCAGGGAACCAAGTCAAATAAAACCTTTCTGACTTCATTTTTGAAGTGTGGAAGCTGCTTGATCAGCATGTGTTAGAGTCCCTGTCTTTGTGGGATAAATCTGTGAAATACACAATTAGGAACTGTGTGTAGGAAGTGGATATAAATTAAACTATAAAGGTTTTAAGCTCATAACCAAAAGATGGCAGATTTAGTGTCTCATGAAATCTTAATTATGCTGCCTTGTGTATGTATTCTTTGCATAAATGATGCATAGGTTATGTGACAAAAATAGTATGGAGCTGCTTTAGCAAAGATCCTGTATTAATGTGCACAAAACCCATCTAACTTTTGACAGTGGACTTTGCAACACAAGTAACTTTCTTTTCTAACAGTTTCTTTTTGAAGGTGGAACAAAACCTGTTTTCTGTTGCATGGGTCACTGAGGCATGGCATCTACATGGTTGGAATGATGACTCTTTAGTGATAAACTATTTAACATTTGAACTACAGAGCTAGAGATACAGTGATTATAAAATGTGCCTGCTGTCCTAGGGTCACACTGTCTACTGCAGTGGTCTGACAGAAATGCCCAGCCTGGGTGACCCCTCTTCTCCCATTGGCTTATGCCAGCTCTCCTGGACTATGCTAGTGATGCTGGTGATCTGGGGTGAGCGCTCCTTTCTATCAGTCATTGAAGAAAGCTATTTTGTACATGAAGCTAACAAGAGACAGATTTCCTAGTGGCCCTCTGGCAAATTTGACCTTGTCTGCCTGAAAACGAGACAATCGCTGAAGTGGAAAAAGGAAACCTGTACCTGAAATGTAACCTGTAACTGACATGTTCTTTGAAAAGACTATAAATGATGGTGCAAATCAAATGGAGGTGGTCCTGCTCTTCTGCATGTCCTTCCATGCATCCCTGCCATCTTTCCTGTGACAAATTTAATGAGGTTGCTGTGCAGTAGCCAGAATGGTTTTCTGATCTGACTGAAAAATGAGCCTGCTCCCTAAAAACTTATTTGCTGAGTCTTTATGCTCCAGCTTTCAGGCTTCTTGCCAAATCATCTTTTCCTCTGTGGAAAGTACAAAATTCCTTGTACCGTGACAAAAAGATGTAAAACCTCCTAGTACTCTTAGTGTTTTTGCACAAGTTCTGTTCCGCTAACACTGTGAAGTTATTTGAATTTAAATTTATGTAAATGCTATCAACAACAGCTCTGTATTTCATTTGAATCACAGAATCATAGAATGGTTGGGTTGGAAGGGACCTTTAAAGGTCATCTAGTCCAACCTCCCTACAATGAGCAGGGACATCTTCAACTAGATCAGGTTTCTCTTAGCCCTGTCCACACTGACCTGGAATGTTTCCAGGGATGAGGCATCTACCGCTTCTCTGGACAACTTCTTCCAGTGTGTCATCACCCTTGTCATAAAATGAAAGCTCTTCTTTATGTCTCGTCTGAACCTACACTCTTCTAGTTTAGAACCACCACCCCTTGTCCTATTGCTACAAGCCCTATTAAAAAGTCTGTCCCTATCTTTCTTAGAAGTCCCCTTTAAGTATTGAAAGGCTGCAACAAGATCCCCCTGGCACCTTCTCCTCTTCAGGCTGAACAACCCCAACTTTCTCAATGTGGTTGTAAGTGCCCAAATGTTGATATTTTCACATCTGAAAGAACTTTGGGTTTTCCTGGAATTGCAAGGCATCTCTTTTCAGAGTAGCACTGGACAACATGCAATTGAGAGGACGTATCCCTATGTTCTTGATAATCCTAGCACCTAAAATGGCTCTTACAAACTGATGTACCCACCCAGTTCCTAGGATTCCCAAATTTGCTTTGGTCTGTAAGCCAAGGATTTGTACATGTTACCCCTTTAATTGAATCTGCTACTTTATAGAAATAAGAAACCACACAAGAGGTTTTCACTGGAAAACTTGCCGAGCCTCCACCCTTCCACAGGCAGGAATTTGGACTCTTCTCTTTTTGTGTCTGTCAAGCTTTACTTGTGGTTCATTTGTCAAATAACAACGTGGTTTCTGGCTTTGTATAAAAAATGGCCGTGATGAGTCATAGACTTCCCCCTCCCTTTTGATACAGAGATACCAAGTGCAAATGCAGTATTGACAGCATTCCCACCCCTTCTTAGGGATTTAGGAATTTAGGAACTGATCTTATATTCCTTAATTAACTTTTTTATTGTCTATTTGCTGGCTTTACCTCAAGTAATAACATATTTAATACAGTTGCAAAACTTCATGGGTTTTATTGTCATTTAGCAGAGAGACCAGATGTGATACATTAATCATAAAAGTGGTACAGTTTTTTAGTGGCTTTTCTATTACCTCTGGTCCTTCCATTTGTCAGTCTGGGAAATTTTGACATCAGTTTCTATTTGCCTCTTTTTTTATAGGAACACAAGCTGGTATCCAGTTATTCTTTTGTTGTTGTTTTTGTTTTAAAAAAAACATTTTATGTGTATTGTTCAATGTCAATTGCTTATTTGCCAGTATAAAAAAATATTAAGGAGAATTTAGTGAATAGTTGAATTGTTTTTCATCATACTGTAAAAATAATAAACGTGACAACTACTGCTAAATTGCAAGTATTCTTTCCACCAAACAGACCTAATAATTATTAACCAGAGTGTCTGCTGTCAAACAGAATGCTTCAAACATTCATAATGTTGTGAACAGATACTCCGTCATAGTCCAAGCCTCCTAAATCATTGTTTCAACACTTCCAATGAAGCATCCCCGAGTCCATTAACCAAGAGCATGCACTTACAAGGGCCATATCATGCAGCAGGTGGAGAAATTGTTAAAGTACTGATCAGAGAAATGGGTTCTAAAAGAATATTTTTAAGCAAGAGCTCTCTCCCCAGTAGTGCATTTTAAACACATTGGTCCAAGGCAAATTTCAGAATATATAAGCAACAGGAACATAAACCGCAGAGTGGAAGGCCATAAAATTAAAAAAGGCAGAACCCCTGAATAGCCTGCAGGTACCTGTGACTCAGGCAGTCCCATGACAGAATCTTGCAGCAGCAGCAGCAAAGCACTTCAGTCTTTACAGGACACCTTCCAAGCCCCGGCACAGGGCAGGACATCATCAAGTGACAGTAAATGCTATTCTTATCTAGAGAGCTGTAAAAACAAAGGCAGATCAGCTCCCCACTCAGTCATTATCCCAGGCTCAATGTAACCTAAAGCATCAAGTATTCAAGCAGATAATATTATGAAAGAAAATTCCAAAGCAGGTTCCCTTTGCTTTGGTGAATGCAGGAAAGAAACATGATATAGTTAATTATGCTCCTGCTTGGGAGGAAAAATATGAGAGGAGTTAGAAAATTATGTCAATAAACCAGAAAAAAACTTAAACTTTCTCTTTTGGGATACAAAATAGGATTTTTTTTTACTATATATATATATATGTATATATATATATATATAAAAAAATCATCCTTGGATCAATTGTTCACATATAAGGACAAAACTAACCCATGTCTATAGGAATAAATTTCTGGAGGCGTAGAGTGGAGTCTGGTTTATAGAGTGAGAAATGAAAAGATCTGGTGTTTTAAATACTATATAGCACAGTAGCATCCTCTCTCCTCCAAGAGCACCACCACCGCCAGAGACTTTTAAGTTCAGCTCTGACCTGAATGAAGAGAGAGAGTGAGTGTGGAGTCATTGCCGTGTTACATGACACACTGGGTGGTGCTAACAAACTGGTGATGATCACAGTCATCTTCCCTTCAAGCCGGCTGCAAGGAGATGTAAAGGCACATGTGAATCCACTCAGAAATTATGACTGTGCAGTGAGACACTTTGTCAGGTACTGTATGTGCAGAAGCAGAGAAAGAAAAGTTGGAAAAGGCATCCAGGGTACTCCAGAAAAGTCTCTTTCAGGCATAGAGTGTGCTTGTGGGACGAACACTGTCAGAAAAAAAACTGGAACCATGAGCAAAGAAGCTGCCTATTTTTGTGTATGTGCTTTAGTTATCTTTAGTGTTCAAAGAAGAGAAAGTTTTGCATCCTCTATAAATAAGTAGGTTTGTATTAAGGGCACCCAGCTTCAGTTTCTTTTTTTCCCCTGCTATTTCTGAATGTTGTATTTGAAAAATATCTATGTTTTTCAAGAGAATCTGATGGTTTATGCTGTCATATGGCTATTGCACAGGTGATACCTGGACCCGAGCCTCATGACACAGTTTCACATATTACAATTAGTTTGCTGTTACTGGCAACACAGATTGGAAATCAGAACTAAGCCCCATGAGAAACTACTTCATGCCAATACTCTTGTTGCTTTTCCTGAGTTTACCTCTGCTACTCTTATTTATGAGGCTATACAGAAAAAGGAGAACAGTTTGATCCAATTTATTTACTGCAAGTATTCTTAGGAAGAAAAGTGTTGTGAGCAATTTTAGCTCAGACAACTAAAATACAATTTTCCTACTTTTACTGATAAGAAAATTCACTATCTGCTTTCAAAATACCATAAACTGATGGAAAAGAGGCACAGAGGAATGAACTCTTTACAAAATGTGCAAAATATATGACGGTCTGTGCAACAAGAGGTGGGAGAATACAAAAAAATTGCCATCAGAAGTAATCATTCCTTCACTTGTTTTCTGGACTTGAATAGGAGGTCCTGATGTAACTGAGCAGCTCAGTGGCTACATCTGAATGACAAAATGGAGAAGTCTACATTTGAAGGACTTGCTTCCTCAAAGATGAAAATCCAGAACAGGGAAAATACCCTTTCTTTGACAGACAGATTAGATCAAGTCAAGAGAGCTGAAGTTTTTGGGAGGGAACATCTTGATACAGCCATTCTCTTCCAGGTACAATATCATATTGAGGATACAAAAAGACTTACTGGATTTCTCTTGTGATGATACAAAAAGACTTACTGGATTTCTCTTGTTGCTTGTGCTATGCCCTGTGCTGTCCTTATTCAGTCCTTGGAGCATAGAGTCCTTGGCAAGGAGGAGGGTATTGCACCACTGATGTAAATTAGGACTGTTCCTGTGCAAAACAATAAATTGTACCAGGGCTGGGCAGTTCTGACTTGGGGAATTACAGTCAGTCCCTATGGCCTCTTTCCCATCAGAGCACAGGGGTCATGGAATGCAAAACTGGGGCCAGATTATTTCACTGGCAGCTGGAGCTCAGCTATCTGCCATGTGCATTACAATGGTATGTTTACTTTTTCTAAATGCTGAATTACTGCCCTGGGAGATACACACATGCATTCCGGGCCAGAACCTGGAGTTTAGCCTAATACTATGTTTTTTAAACACATCTGGGATCTATTATGTTGCTGGGTAATGATTTTTTTAGAATCATCATTACTTTATATTGAAAGAAGTGTCATTGTCAGTATCATTTTCAGCATGGTATTGCAGAGCAACATGTCTGAACACTAGATAACTGCTGCTATGGACAAAATACTATAGGCCATTAAAACACTACAGTATTAAAGCCAAAAGTCATAAAAAAGTTGTGGAACCCATATGGAAATTTGAGGAGCCAAATCTAGAGACTTCCAGGAAGTGGCAATTTTGTTTACAAAATGTAAACACAGAACTAACCGGAACACTGGAAAATGCATTAAAAAAAAACAGCGTTAAGAGACTGAAATTACATATATACTTGGTATAAAAATGCTTCAATGTTTTTAGTGTTATATGGAAATAATTGCATGAAACTTCTGTGCAGTTCAAACTCAGCAACAGTCCTTTACTGCTTTAGGAATCAGAAGTGCAGGGCCAGAATCAAGCAGCAGTTTATCCTTTTCGTATTCCAAGAGTTAACTTCTTTTAATCTTTCAAAAAGCTTCAGACTATTTTTGTTTTAACAGTCTCTGAGGAATTTCCCATACCCACCAAACCAAATAAAGGCCAGACCAAGTCAGTAATATTGTCATTTAATTTCAGTGCTCCTAAACTATACTTAACTTCAGGTTGGAGATAGTTGAACACAGGCAAGTGTTTCGAAAGCCTTTATGTTTAAATGCTTCAACTTACTGAAAGGGTACTTTTGGGAGAAAGGAGGAGAAAAGTCATTCCTGGTTCTAAGCCTTGTCTTTGGACTCACTTTTGAGACTACAGTCAAGTTTGTTTTTAATCCTTGCAGAAAAAGAACCAAGAATACCTGCTTCCACCGCATAATGCTTTCTGTAGGATGTGTAGTATCTTTGAATAAGGAATCAGAATTTGCAAGGATTGGTAAATATTTATATAAATTTCTGTTGCTACCTGTTCTACTGTTGATCTGCACTGCTGTAATTCCTTCTAGGAAAAAAAAACAACAACCTGGTTTTCAGTGTGTATGAAAGAATAATCAGGCTCTTGTGCTCCTGTTTTATGTATGCTATCATTCTTTAAGAGGTGCAGTACTTTGCTTGAGGTATGCTAAGCCAGCACTCCTTCATATTTCCAGATGTACTGCAGTGCACTGATAATAATTATTCTGCACAATGTCAAGCAGTAAGGAATTCTTTGCTGTAAATAGGTACAGATGCAGCTATGTGATGCTAGGTATATAGATTATTGAAAGGGAATGAGAGGAACAGTTTTTTTATGAGGCCTGAGTTATAAATGCAACAAATAGATCGTGATTATTATATGGTCTATTCAGCACAACATCTGTCTTCAGCTTTCTGGCAAAGTTTTCAGAGCTCTTGGTTCTTAGACTCTTAAATTCTGCTGACACTTGTCTCTGCCTTGACACCACCCTAAATATGCCCCAAATGTTTGCTGGCCTGTCCCTTGGTTTATCACCCTCTCATGATTGCAGCTCTTACCCAGGTGAAGGTGTGCTTCTATGGATTCCTTAAGAATTTTCTGGTGTTACTAGCACCAGAGTCTCTTCTTACATACCATTATTCAATTACCTGCTTTAAATGCAAGTTAAATTCAAATACACCCAATTAAACTAAATGGATTCTAACTTCAGTGTATTTTCTGAAGCACTATGATGTTCCTGACTTGCCCTGGATTGTTAATTTATGACTTTATAGCTTCAGTATCACTTATGCATTTTCTGTAATGTAGAAGATGACTCCAGCATACATTCCCAGCCGAGCTCTAATGCAAGATTTATACCCAAAAGGTTGTAGCTACAAAAAAATATCAGAGGTCTGATACAAACACAGTTTTTTTGATCAGGACGTTTTATAATACTGCATCCTTGTTGTGTTCAAAGTTTATTATGGCAATTTCATAATTCTTCAGATACTTCATGTTAATATTCTATCTGTTCTATGATTCTGTGATGCTATATGAGAATCAGGGGTTTAATCTGCCATTCTGATTTGGGCAGTTTAGCAGTCCATTCCACTCCTAATCCCAGTTCATTTGGTTTGCTTTAGTTTGGTGCTCTAATTACCCTCAAAATATTAATTTTTTCTTAAATAATTATTTTTAATTATTTAAGAAAATAATTATATAATAAATATAATAATTAGAATAATAATTATATAAGAAATATAAATATTTCTTATATCATGGGCCATATTACAGTCATACATATCCCTACTGAATGGACTTAAATACACATATCCCTAGAAGGGATGAAGGCAGTCTGAACACCATCAAAAGGTGAATGCAAGCTCAATAGTTATAAGATACACAGGTGTACAAAACACAACTGAAAATAGAAAACCCGTATTCATTGTTCAAAACTAATTGTTGATTTTTGTTAAAAAAAAAAACAAACCAACCAGCAAAACAACCAGAAACAACCAACAAACTCAAACATGTGATTCTGGGGTAAAACAGTCTCTTCTTGGACTTTTCATATCCAGAAAAGAGAAACACTGAGCTATCAAACCAAACAGACCTTGAGTACGTGTCCAATGTTAGGTTGGTTATCTGTTAGATAACATCTTACTGGATTGTTTTGGAAAAGAGTTATTATTAAAAGTAGTTCCTGTAAACCCCTCAGTATCCATAGGAATAGATGGAAGTAGGTATTATGATTACTACCTTAAAGTAGATATTATGATCATTACTTTGAACAGCAGGAGGGCACCAAAGTAACCTTGTTTTTGTATATTTCTTTAGTAGATGAATTGAATGCTTCCATTAATTTGATGCAAATAAAGTTTTTCCAGGCTGCAAATTCCCAAGTTACCC